ACCTATCTCTTCTGTTACAGGCCGAGGCAGATTAACCCTTCTTGGAACCTGACCAAAAGAACCCTAGGGAGCCACACAGATGGACACTGAGAGAAAATGTTATGGCCTAACTATTTTAAATATGTTTTCCCCAGATTATACCAGAAATATCAAGATGACACTTCAGAAGGGGTCCTGTACAGGATGCTCTTACATAGTTAGGAGTTGCCGATTTGCCCCAAAGAATTAACTGTTCTCGCTAGCATCCTTCATCCCGGGGAAGTCAAAGAGAAGAAAAAAAGCAGGCAGACTTTTCAGAAAGGTACTGTGTACATGATTGCGAATGGAGACCATTCACTGCCAAATACAGAGAAACACAGTATGTGAAACTTACCATGGGTGGGTTGTTGTTGTTTGTTTTGGGTTTTTTGCCTTATCAAAACTTTTAAGGCTTCTCTTGACCTTCTTCTTATGTTTTGTCTGAAAAAGAACATCCAGCTTCTCCCTTGTATGTCCCTTTTAAGGCATCAAACCATTGGTCACCACCACATCTTGTGGCAATCAAGTCCCTCAGCGAATTCCGTGTTGTGCACACAATTACTTTGTCCTGAGTCTCCTGCCAGTCAGTTTCATGACATTCCCCCCAATTCTAATAATGATGGGTGGCTTGCATGTGAAAGGAATTTACAAGGATTCTCATAGATGCTCTTTGCAGGCTCATGTGATAGAGATATCAGGGACAAGGGTTAGGTTCTGTTCGCAGTGCAACACAGTTCAGTGCTTTACTTTTCTCCATAGAAGTGAGGCACACCTGCTCACCTATGTGGGACAAAGTGAAGAGCTGAACTTAGGGACATAATGAGGGCTGCTCAGTAACTGAGAATTAAGCCTGCTGCTATCTGCATAGCACTCACCCAGGCTTCTATTTCTTGGTGTGCCAGAATGTTGAGTACTGGTGTTTGTGTGTACGTATGTTGTTCATGTACAAAAAGCCTCAAAACCACTTGGCGCTACACAGTGATTCAATCCATGCAAGATGTCCTTGCTATGGATCTATGCTTCTTCCTGAATCCTTTAGCATAAGAGAATCCTTTAGAAAAACCAAAAGAGATGAATATTATTGTTAGCATCTGTCTGTCTCAAGAGTGAATGGCGTGTGCCCACGGGGGTGAAGTCAAACTGCTGTGATAGCAGCACCGAAGTGACCTCCCCAGGGCTCATGCTTGGGCAGTGTGTATGGAAGTCGTGTTGCCCAGATGACTGATGGGGTCCCAAGGAAAGCAGAGCAAGATGTTGGGCACCAGTTTGGCTGCAAGAGTTGCAGGATTAATGTGTACAAGGCATCATCCAACCATCTTAGGGACTGCATTCCAAATTCATGTAGGGTTTACTCCTTAGTCTTTTCTTCTCCTGAAGATATCCCACAAGGCAGCAGAGGTTTAGGATCAGAGTTCTCCTCCTAGATAGGCAACCTTCCCAAGTTGACGAGCCCCATCTGCCCCTCACTTCCATGTGCAGCATGAATATTACAAAGACCTGAATGCTTAGCTGATAGGTTTAGGCTGAGTGTATTATGCTTATGCTTATTTCTGTTCTGTACAGTGTCTTAGCAGATATTGTGGAGAACATCAGATCTACTGAATGGGAGAGCTTCAGCCTCCCAAAAAATGCAGCTCTTCCATGTTGGTATAGCTGTTGCAGGCAAAACAATTCAGTGTGATGCACACACATATTGTGTGGATCGTTTCATTCTATAGTTTGTCAGTAAAGGTAAAGGACCCCTGACAGTTAAGTCCAGTTGTGAATGACTCTGGGGTTGCAGCACTCATCTCACTTTACTGGCTGAGGGAGCCGGCGTTTGTCCGCAGGCAGTTTTTCAGGGTCATGACTAAGCCGCTTCTGGTGAAACCAGAGCAGCGCACGAAAATGCTGTTTACCTTCCCGGAACGGTACCTATTTATCTACTTGCACTTTGACGTGCTTCTGAACTGCTAGGTTGGCAGGAGCTGGGACAAAGCAACGGGAGCTCACCCCGTCGTGGGGATTCGAACCGCCGACCTGATCGGCAAGCCCTAGGCTCTGTGGTTTAACCCACAGTGCCACCTGTGTCCCTTTTTAGTTTTGTCAGTAGGTGGCACTAGACTGGGTTTTATCTGAGTTGATTTAGGAAACCTGACAGGTGTGCCCTCTAAGCCTTCCATAGCATATGCCAACTTCTTAACCCACTAAACTGGCTAACATGTCCATGTCCAAGATGTGCAAATAAAACTCTGCTAACCTTCCAGGTCTACTTTGTTTATTGTTAGAGAGTCATAAGTCCATGTGTGCATTTCTTTGTAATTCAGATCCCTTTGCTTCAATGAATGGAGCTGTCTACACGCACAAAGCTCTGAGTGCACATCAGTGTGCGCTGGGAGGTCTAGGTCAAGTGATAAAGTGCTGTTTTCAAGAGAACATCAACCAGTCTCTAACATTACACCAGTTAGAGACTCTCACAACTCTGGGATTCACTGCCAAAGTTGACTCTTCACTGGTTCTCTTTTCAAATGGACTATGTAGCCATTGACATCTGAGGAGCTGATAATTATACTTTTATAAACAACTGCTGCTTTATGCACAGCTTCTGGTGGGCGTCTGCTCTCTATTATTGCAGAAATACAGATCATTAATGTTTAATCAAATATTTTATGGTACCATATTTAAGATGCTTCTCTTTGTTGCCAATCTTCCAATTTTAGAATGAAACAGATTGAAGACTATGCCTACAAATTCGCTAAGAATAGATCTGTTGATGAAGTAATTGAAAGGCTGAGGGAAAGTATCCTGCAGCAGGAAGCTACTGTTAGAGATGGCTTTCTTGCCTTCAGCAAACAAGCTAGTGGGAAATTGAATAAAACTGATTTTCGCAAGGTAAATGTAAATTTATTCGGTCATTCAACCTGATGTGGATTGTTTTGCATTGAGATTTCCTTAAGTTTCTGACTGTCTCTCTCTCTCTCTCTCTCTCATTCTCTCTGTAAAAAAGCTGGCATTAACTCTTGTGAAACTCTTCATAAATAAACGTTTGACACACAAACTGTTGCTGCAGTCCAAGGCAGGCCGCAACAACCCACAGGGGTGATCACTTTTCAGATAGTCCACTATCTGTGGCGGGTGGACCATGTTGCTCTTTGTGGTTCTCATCCCTGACCAGTGAATTTTTTTTTTGGTTCCCCTCTCCTTTGAAAATTAGTCCATTGTGCCCTTTCAAAAGCAAAAAAATAAGCTGAAGAGTGAGATGGGGTTCTGCACCCTTATTAAAAAGACCAGGTTCGGATTATTATTATTTTTTAAGCGCAGCTTGACACAGCCTGGTTATCAAACACCTGCTACGTACAACATCTTTAATTTTGATATTTTGTTCAGATCAGCTGATGTAGACTGAATGCTCACTTCCCACAGCTGTGTAGTCTCTTGGCACATTTCTGCACAAAGAGTCAAAGTATGACCAGTTGTATCTTAGCCATAATTCTCTGCGTTGTTAGGCTACCTAAGCCCCACCTTTGCATTTTGAGGTGGACAATGAAGCTGTGTCGCAGTTTGGATGCACAAATTGGGCCTTTGCATTGGTTTGATAAAAATCCCACTTAAGTTCTGCTGGATCTGGAGACCACACCCTTACTTGCAACTAGGGGTGGCCCTCCCTGCTGCCCCCCAAGACTCACCAGGGTCACATGATGGCGTGGCTTCTGGCAAGCTTTTGCAGCAGGCATGGGTGAGGCCTGCATGGAGGTGCTGCCCTGCGGGATTCCACCACCCAAGGCGGCTGCTTCCGTTTGCCTCACGGGCAGGCCAGCCCTGCTTACAATGGATTGTCATTGCACGCTAATGGCCTGATTGAGAAGCTTTCTAGATGCACAAAACTCCTAGATTTCAGCATCAGAAGCAGCCTCCTGCATGCAACTCCAGTGGCACTTCTGACACAGAGGGAGCTCACCTGTACAGGAGTTCCACCACTCTGCACCTGGAGCTTTGCATCAGAACCATTAACTCTAATTCTGGGGCAAGGCAGATCTTTTTGTATTCATTGTATTCATGCAATCGCGGCTACCTCTTGTATGCCACACTCCTATGGCTCTAGAATTAAGCATTCGATCTGATAGCAAAAGCCTGTACTAAAGCACAAAGCAGCTAATCTCTTTTCAAAAGCTTTGAAAATCTACTGAAAAGAGTGATAATTTGCTAATTAGAGTATTCTCACTTCTTCTTTTTTTTTTACATTTTTATGCCATTCAGCCATATGATGCTGCTTCCTTTTTCTTTTAATCTCCAGGGCTAAGAAAGTAAAATAGAATAGAATAGCAAGAATAATCACAATTGAAGCAATTACAAAAGGACAAAAATATGCAGTAGAAAGAATACGCTCAAATTAGAAGTACAGGAATAATTTGCAATGATTAAACTGGAGGAAGTATTACTAAACAAGGCCACAATCTTGGAACCACTCGCTTATAGGTCTTTCTACTGAGTTTAACGGTACTCTCCACAATTGGCCACAGTCAGACTGAGTGCGAGGCCACAAGATGAGGCTTGTTTAACTGTACTGAGCATGAACTGCATGCAAGATCTCACAGCTTTACCAGGAGTAAACCAATCAAGCAGGTGAACAAACCAAAGAGTGGCTGGCTTAGTTTTCCATTCAAGCCAGTGTTTGTGATTTGCTTCTCCCAAACTGTGACGTCAGCTTTAGGTCATGGCTGTTTGTTCAATTATCTTCAATGAGCGCTGGGTGTGGACGTAACACTAAGTGAGCCATTCTGTTTGTTTTCCTGCTCAACGGAGGAAGGGGGCAAAAAGCGAGAGTTTGAATTGCATGCACCAGCACAAAGTTTATGCACAGCGTGGTTAATGCCTGAATGCACCTATCATTTCAACATTGTAGGTGAAACCTATGCTGGGGGGGCGGGGGGCAAGGACTGTTGAGCTTAAGCTTATGACTTGATGGTTGGAGCTTAATGAGCTACCTAAGATGGGGACATTGGTCACTTAAAAACTGTGGCAATGGAATTCCATACCTGCTCATAGAGGGCTTACTACAAGGTAAACTGGTACAGGATTACAGTTGTAACAATGTAACGAAGAGATTTGACAAGGAAATGCTTTCTTTGTCATCCTACAGGCAGGTGGGAACAGCAGGTGCTTTTCTTAGAAAATGAATTATCTTCTGTGTGTGAGAGAAGGCAATGTTTCTTCAAAAATGGTTCCTGCCACATGCAACTTTTAGAAGTATTTGCACTAAAATAGTTCAAAAAATGTCAAATCTGCTGCCCCATTAACCCTTTTCCAGCTTATTGATTGATTTAGTGAATTGACTAAATGTTGCAGCCCCATCTAAACCAGCAAGTTCTCAAGTAGGAGAGCTCTTATTTGAAGCAGAAAAAATGGGCTTGATCCAACTGGAGTTAAGCACTTACAAGTCCTATTTGATTTCAGTGGAAGGGAACAGAGCATTTCCTGTTGAAATCAGTGGGCGTTAAAAGGGGCAGGATTGTGCCTAGTCTTTTACAAAAAAAACCCCAACCACGCCTGCTTTTTTCTTTCTCCGCCAGCTGTTGGATGATATTGGGATGCCAATGGATGATGAGCAGTTTAATCTACTCATTGAAAAATTAGGATTCCCTGCTGGAGGGCTGAGTTATCTTGATTTTGTCGCAATATTTGAAGGTAACTGGATATTTATTGATACCTTACTATAAATATTTTAAAAGAATGTAAAGCTTTTTTTCTTATTGGCTGGGAGGACTTCCGAGCTTTGCTTATTCTGGGAATAAGTGCTCTTCAAGACTCAGCCATTTCCCCCAAAGCTGTTCAGGTTAAGGATGGGGTCCTCTTGTGCAATGGTGGCTGATTTTTCTTCTCCATGTGGGGGAAGACGACCAGACTCAAGGTTTGTTGGTTTCTTAATTCTGTTGGCAAACGTGAAAACCAAATCCAAAGAGTAATAAATTGTGGCATAATTCTGCGATTCATGCAGCGTTCTCTTGGCAGCAACACGTGTCTCTTAGCCAATGCCTCTCTGTCTTGGCTTGCTGACACAAGCAGCCCTGTCAAAGACAGCAGAGAGCCAAATAACTGTAAGGAACTTAAATAGCCTAGCCAGCCCCTGAGAACTGATTTGCCCCTCTTCCCTCGCACTGAAGCCAAATAGCACCTGTCCCTCAGCCCAATTTTATGTAGGCCCTGGCCTGTTTTTAAAAGCCCCCTGCAAGAAATCTGTTCAGGTCTCAGGTAAGAGTGATTTGGCCTCTCCTGGCAGCCTGTTGGGTAGGGAAGAATGGGGGGGGGGGAGAGAAACAGGGCCAGAAAAAAGAAAAAATGGCCGTGGGGGCACTGCCAGTATGTGAGATTGTGGCCCTAGACTGAGAAAAACTTGCCAGCCTGCTAGGTATATTTGCGGTGAGCAGTTCAGGCAGTAAATGTTTTTATTGTCCAAATATTACAAACCTGAATAGGTTTGTGATACCTGGGGCCTAGGGGTTACGAAATGTTTTTTGAAAGCTGCATTTTTTTGGCAAATAGCTGATCACCTAATTTATAACTTTATACAGTAGGTTATATTTATAGTCCATCCCCCCCAATTCTCCAAGGAGATTATTGTGGTTCTTCTCTCACTTTATCCTGACAACAGCCCTGTGATCTACGTTGGGTTGAGAGGGAATGGCGCTCCAACATCCCTGCTCCGTGAGCTGCGTTAGCCGAGGGGGGGGACTCAAGTGGGGTCTCCCAGGTGCTAGTCCAACATTCTGACTGGTATATCACACTGGTTTCTAGTGTCAGTGATTTGAATCTATTTCATGATTTTGTGGACCATTGGCCACTTTGGCTTGATGTAACTATTTGGGGGGACGCGGGTGGCGCTGTGGGTAAAACCTCAGTGCCTAGGACTTGCCAATCGTATGGTCGGCGGTTCAAATCCCCGCGGCGGGGTGAGTTCCCGTCGTTCGGTCGCAGCTCCTGCCCACCTAGCAGTTCGAAAGGACCCCTAAGTGCAAGTAGATAAATAGGTACCGCTTTAT